CTGTGCACCCACAACAGCCGACACACAGCCTTCCCTTGAAGATGAGGTCCTGACAAGCATACCCTGGGCCCAGGGCAGCTGAGGTGGGGCCTGCTCCTGACTGCTCTGCCACATAGTACACTTACCCATCTCTCACACATGCCACTGAAATGAATGGCACCCCAAAGCACCAGAACAAGACAGTGAATGATCCTCAGAAAGGTGCATGGGGCAAAGTGCATCAGAGATGGGAAGGGGGAACTAGCAACACACTTCACGTAGTCTGGCCCAAGAGGTCGCTTCACTTACCCTTGGGGAAGCCCCAGGGTTCTGGCAGCCCAGGGCCAGGAAGTAAACTGCATGCCTGAGCATCACCAAGCAGAGGGTACCCTGGCGTGAAAGAGCAGTGACCTGTGGCAGGAAGGCACAGCTGCCACCCCTGCCCAACCAGCTGGCTGGGACTACAGTGGCGGGGGAGGGGCAAGGGGCACTTGTCTGGGTGCTGGGACCTGGGCTCTTCTCCCTTGCTGAAAGCCTAGTCTGCCTAGTCTGCACCCGGTGCCTGCAGGTGGGGATATGGTGGAGAGAAGACCCACCCGCCCCTAACAGGGGCAAGGGGAGGGGGGCTACAGTTGACTCCTTTGACTGGGTTGAGCAGAACCAGTGTTTAAAGAGTTCTAAAATGCAGGAGCTGGGAAATAATTTGGGGTCAATATTTAAATGAGGCCCGGAAAGGAGTTAGTGCCTCCAGGTGTTAGAATCCTCAGCGCTTAGCATGAAGATGAGGCGGGCAGAGGTGTGACCTGCACAAGTGTCCTGCACACCTGAGAAGCAAAGATGGGAGCAGCATGCCAGGCCCACACACTGCACCTTAGGAACAGCTTTAAGACCAGAAACTCATTCTGTCCCAAGCACCTGCCTATATCCTGCCTTTAATAATGAGATGTACAAAATTCTTGGCTGGGAACTTAACATAAGCCGTTCCCAGGGCTCTCCCCAGACCAACCCCTCCCAAGGCTCTAGCACCTGCAAAGACGCTGACCAAAGTGCCCTGGTTGCTCCCAATATGTGCCCAGAAGGCTGTGGCTTCTGAGCACGTACAACTGTGAGCCCTGGCTGCTGGGTGTGGGCAAGAACACACCCATGACGTCACACTGAAGCAGTGTGAATAAACCATCAAATGTACCTCATGTACTTCTGCTCACTTTTCAGCGTGGTTGCTGGGAAAGCTAAAGTGACCCTTATGACTCCAGCTGTTTCTATTGGATGGCGAGGCTCTAACACGACCCGGGGCTGGGAAGTCTCAGCCTTCAAGGTGTACTGAAAGGATGTGTTACTGCCTTGGAGAACTGGTTTCTGGACAATTTTCTCCATGGTTTGTCCCACAAGAACACCAACTTGGGGTGTGGTACCTCTGCCACCCCTACATAGCCTTGAGCATGGCCCTCTCCTTAGAACACCAGTGGGCTTTCTCTTGCCATGATCTGCTCTGGGGCTGGATTTCTACATCTCACAGGGAAGCAGAGCTGAGAGGGGCAAAGGAGAAAAGGAAAAAGCAGGCCTGGATTTAGCATTTCAGACTCTCCTCTCAGTTGAGTCCATCTCCAGAATGTACCCTGATGATGATGGGCCTCCTTTCCAGAGGGAAAGTTCTCCTACTTGAGAACTCCTACTTGAAAGCTGCTCTGGGGCGGGCCAGGGAGGGGAGGTAGTGGCAGTGGACACTGTGCACGGGTCTTGCGTTTTGTGCACACTGTAACAAATCACCTTCAACACAGTGGTGTAAAGCCAGACTGATGTGTCCATTACTTTACAGCCCTAGAGGTCAGAAGTCCAAAATGGTTTGATGGGGTCAAAGTCAACACATGGGCAGGCCCGTGTTTCTCTCCAGAGGCTCCACAGGAGAACCTCTGTCCTGTCCCTTTTCAACTTTTAGAGGGAGGATGCCTGTGTTATTTGACCAGCAGCCCCTGCCTGGTCAGCAGAGGACAGTGGAGTCTTCCTCAAAAGGCATCTCTGGTCACCTCGCCTTCCAGTTAAAGGCCCTGTGCTCATACTGGACTCACCTGTATAACCCCAGCTCAGTGCCATATTTTTTATTTTTAAAGATGTATTTATTTATGCACACAGAACTGAGGCACAGGCCAGAGGTGTAGGAGTGGTAAGGGGATTCACCAGAGACAGAGTGGGGAGCAGAACAGGCCGACTGACGAAGTACACTGCTCAGGGGAGCAGCAGACCAGTCAGGAGAGGTCTGCCGAGCCATGTGGGTCACCTCCAGGGCCAGAGATCTAACAAGCACTGAGCAGCTGCAGTGCTGTTGTGCCACTAGGGAGGTCCCCAATGCCCTATTTTAAGGTCAACTGATTAGCATTTCCTTAAGTATTATAACATTCACAGGTCCTAGCAATTAGGACATGATGATGTCTTTGAGGGGCCATTACTCAGCCTTCCTCTCTGTACCTCCAAACAATCCTAACTATGAGCTGGAGGAAACGATCTCTATTTTACAGACAACTATCTATTTTTTTTCAGGAGTTAAATCATTTGCTAGGGACCCAGGCCAAAACGTGGTGTCTCTCTACAAAGGCCTCATGAGCCTATACCATGTTTTTAAAGGTACAGGGTACAGTTCACAGTGCAGGTGTACTGTATCCTGGAGTCAGGAAATTACAATAAAAAGCCAATACTACTTTATCACCTCCATTTTTGAAAAGGAATTTTTAACCAACAAAGGGGCTAAAGTGACAGGGACAAATAGACTAGCTGTGTGAAACCCCCGCGCCCCCACAACTACAAACACTCACATGTGCAATAGTCACAAGTACCAGCCAGCTATCCAGAGGCAGGAAGCATGACTGCCCTTATACTTTTTGGTAATAGGTAGGAGGGAGACCTTTGCAAAACAGGGTGTGGCCTGTCAAGAAAGCTAACAAGGAAGCATTTTTCCTGCTCCTGATACAGGAGTCCAAAAGCAAAGGCAGGGCTGGCTGGATTGGCTGGTGGGATTTAGATTCTATGCAAACCAGAGTGTGGCTGAACACCCCAGCGAAGGATGGAAGCAGCAGATCCCAAAGATGCCTCAGGGTCTGTGGACTCCAAGCACTGTTTTCGGTTCAGGAGACATGTAAGCAGCAGCCTCAGCTCTCATCTCCTTTCCACTAGCGGGGCCTGGCCAGCAGCTCACTGGATATTTCTGGGAGTGAGCTAATTAAGAATTAATAATGTACCACCTTATTCTGACTTCTCTCAATAAAGTCACACTGAAGACAAACAAACCCAGGCAGTGGACCAAAACTTCATCTTTCCAGAAGGGCCCTGGAATGGGGAGATCTAGAGTTTTGCCCATTAAATCCTCTCAGTTCCTGAGAAAAACCCAGCAGGCAAAACAAACCAAAACAAAGCCTTCTTATTGACTAGACTAATAACTAAAATGCAGCCCTCTATCAGGCTCTCTGTCACATTCAAGAAAGTTGCCCTTCACTTATAACAACTTACAAGCAAGGTCAAAAAACCTTCTGCCCTGTAAACTCTATCTCTTCTGTGCAGCAATCAGACCTTTTAGACCTCCTCTGAACCACAGGGGGGAAAAGATTTAAGTCAGAGAATAAAAAATACTTCTGACAATATCCAGATTCTCTCTGCTGATTAAATTCTCTTCATCCTTCTGTAGGTTCCTGGAACAGTTAATTACATGTAAAAAGTGGCTTTAAATGCCAGGTGGAAATAGTGGCACAGATGACCAGGTGATGGTGATGATCACAAGGATACAGTTGCAGCCAGGCTGATACTAGCACCTGACTTTCCTTAACACCTTGATGTCCTGAGGTTTTATCTGCTTTTCACTGTCACTCGCTAGCACAAAGGTCAGACAATGCCCTGCATTTTCCTGTATTTCAAAATGAAAGTTATACACTGCCTGTGCTAACTTGATTTAAAAGCCACCACAGAAGTCACTGCTCTCTGCAGGGACAGCTGTTAATGGCAGCCACAATGACACCTGACTGGAGAGGGAAGGGTCCTAAAGTAAAAATTTTTCTGCTATTTCATTCTAGGTTGACTTGTTTTGGTGAATATACTTGTATGCTCCCCTCACTCCCTAATCACCCAGGAAATCTCAGTGCTTGTAAAATAAAAAAGGAACAGAAACAGCAGGACCTGCATGATGGTTGTTCAGCAGGACACAGTACAAAACACATCGCGCCATTATCCAATTTTGAAAATAACCCTCCCACCACAGGCCATCCTCCGCAAGAGATGCCGGCGCGTGGGAAGTGCAGGAAGGGAGCCCCAGGAAGTTTCTGTCAGGCGCTGGCATTTAATAAGGGGGTGTGAACCTATTTATATGTGGGCCAGCGCTGGGGCAAACAAGTCTGGCTACATACGTGAAACTTCGCGCCCAGCAAATAATAAGGTATTGTGCGGCCGTGGAAAACAGCTCAGGAGAAAAGGAAACAGGGAGTTTCCTTTAAGGAAATGCACTGCTTCCCCGAGGTGAGAGTGCCAGAGCCCGCGGGAGCGGAACTGCACGAGGGGCCGAGCAGGGACATAGCCGGGCCCCGCGCACACCTGGGGCCCCGCCGCCTCCGGCCCGCGCCCCTGCGCCCTCCGCCACCTCGGCGTCCGACTTCCGGACCCCCAGCGGTCCCCGTGGCCGTCGTGGCTTCCCTCCACCTGGGTCGCTCCCCACCTGGGTCCCGGGCTGCCTCGGTGCCCACCACTTGGGTCCCTCTCCACCTGAGTCCTCGGCCACCTGAGTCCTCGGCCACCTGGCTCCCCGGTCACCTCGGTCCTCGGCCACCTCCAGCACCGAGCGCGCTTCCGGTTCACCTGCGCGCCGCGGGCTCGGGCGGCGGAGGCCCGGGAGCGAGGCGGCGGGGAGCGAGGAGGTTGTCGGACTGGGGTGTGGGGTCCTCATAGCCCCGGGAGCGCGGGAGACTGGAGCGGCCGGGTCCCAGAGGTGCGAGTGTGAGGGGTCAGGGAGAGGACGCCGCCCGCCCGCCCGCGGCCCCGCCGCTCGCCTGGGTCTTGTCGAACTGCTCGCGCTCGGCCTCCAGGCTGTGGCCCGGCCTCCGGCTCAGCACCCGCGCCGGCACGTTCTTGATGCTGTTCATCCTGCCGCCACCGCCGCCTGCGCTCCCGGCCGGGATCGGAGCGACTGAGCGCGTCACCACGGCCGCCCGAGTCTAGGCACTGTGAGGCCGCCGCCAGCGCCCCAGCCCGCCCCTCCCGCCTCAGGGGAGGAGCACGCGCCCGTCACGCCCCAACGTCTGGCCCCGCCCCTGAACCTGGCCCCGCCCCCGCCCCCAGCCCCATCACACCTCCACCCAGTTCAAGGGCCGCGCTCAGGGAGACCCGTCCTTCCTCCTTTCTCCCGAAAGGTGGGGGTGGGTCAACTCCGGTTCCCTCCAAGCTACCGCACCCCGCCTGCACCGCCCCCCACCACACATTCTCCTTTTAAGCCCTATCTACACCAGGCCAGGATCTGGTTAATTGTAATAAGCTTGGCCTCAATGAGTCTGACCAATGGGAACACAATGCCAGGCCAATTGTGAACCGGTTGGGACCAAGAGAGGCAGGGCTGGAACAGCCTGCAGATAGATTTGAGCAAAACACAGTACTGGGTCATTAAGTTGCATCAAAAATGCCACAGGAGGTGTTGTGAGACATTTTATTTATGGATACAAGAACTGGGGTGTAGGCCAGAGGTGCAGGGGGTTTAGAGGATACACAAAGGAGCAGAACAGGCGGATCCACTGAAATCCACATGTGGGTGGGCTCCCTGGCCAGGTATCCAACTCAGGCTGCAGTGGCTGTCCATAGCTTCATAGAGCTAAGACTTAACCCTTTGTGCCACTTGCTTTTTAAATTATTGGCCATAATACTGAAGTTTTAAAAAGTCACATTCTCCCAGGTATATGCTGACAAATGGCTATTTTGTTTCCCCTATCCTCAGCTTTCCTATCAAAAATACAATAATGTGTGAATTCACCCAATAAAATTACTGAGGATTCCCCTTGATGAGGCAGATTACCCTGAAGTTGTTTGTCCCCAACTAGCATGCCAGTTATTCCTCACTGCGTGGTCCCAGATACTGGATACTTGAAAGATGTATTTGACAAGGCTCTCCTCTCACTCAAGAGACAAATTAGCCATGTTTTATTAATCCAGTCACTGAAAAGCTTCTTCATCAGGGTAACAATAGAATAATAGGTAACACTTACCTAATGCTTGTTATCTGCCAGCTGGTCAACCCTTTTTTTTTTTTTTTTTAAGATTTATTTATGCATACAAGAACTGGAGTACAAGCTAGAGGGTAGGTGTGTGTGAGTGAGAGAGAGAGAGAGGATTCCCCAAAGACAACAGGGAGCAGAACAGGCAGATGTACTGAAGTAAACTGCTGAGGGGAGCAGCAAGTGAGACAGGAGAGGTCTACCATACCATGTGGGTCACCTCCATGGCATGGGATCGAACTCATGCTAAGGCTAGCTCCACAGTGCTGTGTTATAAACTGCTGAGCCACCAGGGAGGGCCCTGACCAACCCTTTTATGTGTGTTACCTCCTGTGTAATCAATGCTCAGTACCCTCCTCAATAGCTATATGGTCACAGCAGCTATTTCTTGGACTCCTTTTCCACACAGAAAAAAGCAGCTATCCTGTGAACTCGGCACATAACACAGCATCTTCTTTTAAACCAGCCTTCATCTTTACTTAAACAACCCCTCTGGGCCCAAAATTTCTGCCACAGTGACAATGTTAACAGCCAGCTACCACTCTTATTAATTGAAAATAGTTCACCCCTGAGCCAGGCACTATTTCCAACCTTTTTGGGATCCCAGAGCACCTAACATATCTAATTAACTATAACTTAATCAACCTATAAAGATTGTGAGCTATTGGAAGGCAAGGACCTCCCTGTCTCTAAGTGCCCACAGGATGCCTACCCCAGAACAGTGTTCAACAAATTGTGAGAAATAGAGTCAGGAAAGCAAGTAAACAATCTCCCTATTTATTTCACTCAGACATGTGCCTTGGTTTTATGGAAGAACACTCCAAGGGACACAACTCTTAATTTGTAAAACATCTTCAGGCAGGAGATCTAGTTCTACAAATGATTCTATTGCTGTTATCAGCATCATGGTTACTGGCTATTTTGATATATTTGGGACTTTTGAGTGATTCCCTGGAACATTACAAAGGCAAAGCATTTAGGATCCAAATTAGATCTCATACAACAGAAGCAACCATAGTTTGTGCTTGGGCTTACTAAAATGACCTGTGCTGCACAACTGCCCTGTCTTGTTGCCAGGTGTGTATGAGCTGGTCCCAGGCTCATTCTGTCTAGCTTCATCTTGCACCACCCTCATCCATCAAGTCTGAAAGTACCTCAGGGCCTTTGCACATACTATTGTCACTGTATGGAATGTTCCTTTTTCCTGTTTGCCTAGTTAGTACCTACTCATTTTTCAGCCCTTAGTTCAGATGCCATTTCCTCAGAGGAGCCTTCCCAGAACCCTCCAATCTGACGTATGCCCCTATTCTATGCTATCACAGTGCCTTGTGACTTTATTTCACAGAACTTACTGGTTTTTCATCATGTTTGGGATTATTTGATTAAGGTCTGTCTTCCCACTAGACTGTAAACAGGAAGTGTCTGCCTTGTTCACCAGGGTGTCTCCAGGTACCAGCAAAGCAGTACTTATTGTGTGCTCCAATCATTTTGTTCTTTTTAGGTTAGATTTCCTAAGCATGCATTTGGCTGAAAAAACAGAAAACATCCTTACAAACCAGACCAATGTGGGCCCTCCCTGGTGGCTCAGCAAGTTAAAGCACAGCACTAAGAAGCGTAAGCCACCTCTGCATGAGTTCAATCCCTGCCTGCCCCAGAGGAGATCCACATGGTGTGGCAGACCTCTCCTGATCCGCCTGCTGCTCCCCTCAGGAGTGTACTTCATCAACCTGCCTATTCTGCTCCCCACTCTGTCTCTGGTGAATCCTCTCACCCTCTGCATCTCTGGTCTGTACCCCAGTTCAGTATGAACAAATAAATAAATCTTTAAAAAAAAAAAAATTTACTGGAGCTGGAAAAGATCATGCTTAGTGAGATAAGCCAGAAAGAGAAAGAAAAATACCCGGATGGTTTCGCTCTTAGCAGGAGTATAATGGACCAGGCAAGAAAATAATAAGAATAATGAACAGCCATATACCAGAGACATTTTGTGGGAGTGGAGTGGGGAATGGGATCAAAAACGTGGGGGTGGGGAGGGAAATGCACGGGACTATGGTGAGGGCACACGGGTGACTTGGTGATGGGAAATCCGCGGGATTACAATTGAGATGAAAAAATAAATGTACAAAATTTTGTAAAACTAAACTGTTATTTAAAAAAAAAGGATGTACTTATTTATGCATAGAAGAACTGGATACAGGCCAGAGGTGCAGGGGATAAGCGTGGGGGCTGGGGTAGGTGAGAGGTTTCACCAGAGGTGAAAAGAATGGGGAGCAGAACAAGGAAAAGGCGGATCCACTGAAATCCACTGCTGAGGGAAGCAGTGGGGAGACAGTGCCATGTGGGTTACTTCCCTAGCTGGGGATCGAACTCATGCTGCAGTGGCTGTGGGTAGCTCTATAGTGCTGCACTTTAACCCCTTGCACCACCAGGGAGGGCCCCCATTCTGCTTTCTGACCTACCTTACAGGCTGCGTTCCTGGTTAACACCTGGTTTCCTGATCTGATCTTATTTACTCTGCTCTCTATGATGTATGGAAGTAGTGACTGACATTATTCTGTTTAAGGCTTTGAATGACAAACCTTCTTGAAATGGAGACCAAAACAAAATCTTCACCAAATGGTTGAAGAGAAACAAACCAAACCACCCAAGCTTGAGCCATCTAATCTGAGGAAAGAAACCTCCTGGAGGGAGCCCCCAGCAAGCTCAGGACCAAACACAAAGTTTTAGTCCTTGCCCACATTCCTGAAGGAGCCAACCTTACCTCAGTTGCACACATTCCATTACAGCTTTTTCAATAAAACTGTTTTTTAGTGTTTATGTGTTACCCTGATTCAGAATTTCTTTCTTTGGGGATATTTCTATTTCTGTTTAAAAGATCTGTTCACCAATTCTAAAAATATTCTTATAGCAGTCTTTTCTGATGGCTGGGATAATTTCTGCCAGGCAAATTGCACAATTTACTTGTCCTCTCTTAAGAGCAAAGAATGATGATGAAATGTAAATGCTAACATCTAGTTTTATCTTGCAACTATTTAAACACACACACCCCAAAAAACAAAACCAAAGAAAACAAATCAAACTCAGATGAGACTGCCTCTCTTTAACAGAAATTCCTGACTAATTTAAATATCAAGATGATAGTATTAAGATTTCCCATTTTAATACAGTTGGTAAAATCCACAATAATGTGATAGATTAAGACTACAAGTTATGGACACTATAATTCTGAGCTAAAATGCACTTAGTCACAAATCATTTGGGCTTTCTTCAAAATCCTCAAGTCCTGAAATCGTCCTACTTACACCTAATCAGTGTTTTCTTCTTACCAGGCAAGATACTCCATGGACTTCTCCTAAGAAGAGGAGCAAATTGAATATCTCTCAGACTGGTGAGTCAGGTCCTCCAGGAACATTTTAGGCTTGCTTCTGGGAGGCAGTGGTTGAGAACTGGCTCCACTTTTCTCAGCCTCACTCTGCACAAACCAGCCTGAGGGAGAAAGTGGGCATTTATAAAGAACATAGCCAAGCCTCACCCAATTTCTCTTTTTAGCACCTGAATTAAAAAGACGAACTGAAGTGACTCCTGCACTCAGGAAACCATCTCTGAAGTTGCACTGAAACCTTTGAACAAAGAGGCATTTACATGGCATAACAGAACATTGATATCTGCATGTTAAAAAACCCATCCCCCAAAAAACCGATCCCATTCTTGCCTGAGAGACTAACCACTTTCAAACTACTAGCGTTGCTTATTTTACTCCCGTATGATAAAAAGAAACCAGAGATAACTATTTTTCTTTACTATTAAAAATATTTTTATTGACTGAAGTTGATTAATTTTCTTAGAAGGGAAGGAGAGGTACATGGTATATTCTTTAAAAAATTACATTAAGTTACTTTACAAACAAAAATGAAAAGTATTTTAGTCTTTTACGATAGAAAAATGCACATAAAACTTCATCTTCCAGCAAGATTTGTATAAACAGATGGGGCTCAGACAAGAGGGGCTTCTGCTTGACTCTGGCACAGGAGCTCCATCGTCAGGGATGAGGAGATACTTCCAGTGAAACATTTTATATCATAGCATTTTATGTCTATTTTACATGGCAAAGTCCAGAGCTAAAACCACAAGAGAACGCTACTGCTCCTATTTTTGAGCTGGCTCTGATAAGCTACTGGTTATAATTTAAATGGATGCATAGGTCTTAAAACCATATAGTCCAAGTAGCATTTTATATGCAGCGGTTCTCTATTTGATCTTCACGCTGTTAAAGAACTTTTCTAGTATTGAACCTTAGTCTGCATCTTCAAAGAGACATCTTTGCTCTGCATAGTTACAAGTTTGTATATGTACAAGAAGGGCTAATTTCTTATGCTTGAAAAATATTTCTTATACATGAAAATGGTCAACCTGAAAACCAACAAAATATAGATGTTTCAACATAAACTTTCAGTTTCTGCTCCCCTTGGTATTAACTGTTGCTAATGAAAGATCACTCTCTTTTTTTTGTTTTCAAGGTTTAGATATTGATGTCTGCTTTCCACAAAGATGAGAATGGCTTCTGCAGGAAGGAAACAGAGTCAAGAAAATCTAAATCAATAAGTGTTAGATTGTGTGCTGAAAGCTCGTGGTTGCTAAAACATTGAACTACACATCCTGATCTTCACCAACATAAGTCATGCCAAGTATCACAAATATGAAAATCAGCAGAGAAAGAGGAAGGACAGGAGAGGCCAGGCTGAGTGGGGGGATGGTGAGGGCCATCAAGCTTACTGCTGTCATGGGTTCCACAGTGCTGTTAGTTCTCAGTGAACATTCCTGAAACCCCCATGCCTTTTAATTCTCAAACTGGATTCCAAAGAAACTTTGCATATGATATGCAGGTTTGATAGACATACAGATCAAGAAAGTGCTGAGTGGATCAATAAAACCTGACATTCCCTGAGGAGACTTTTTCTCAACAAACATTCAGCTAGCATGCTGAAATATTCACTCACATACCAGCTTACTTCCTTAGATTTGAAGTCCTGGCCATTAAGAACGAGAACTTTTTGATCTGTATCTGTTACAAGTACTTGAGCCTACTCCGATTAAATCTAGAAGGTATGTATAAATGGGTGAAAGGGAGGGGGACAGTCTGATAGTGGCCTGGTACCTTCCCAAGCTCCCCAGTTACTCGTTACATATCCACTGAGACGTAAGTGAGGAAGCAATGGTGACTTACCCAGCATCTCAAAGAACACCGAAATTGACTGCTGTTGTCTTCAGTTACTGAGAATAGTATTCTTTTGAGCTGATTCTTCTGAGAATTCTAAATTCTGCAAAACAACTCCTGAGTTAGTACCCAACATAGAAAAAGTAGAACATACTTAGTAAGACAATATTCAAATATTGCAGAAGTGCCTTTATAAAAGACTGGAGGGTGTCAGGGACTTCACACAGTTATAAGGCAGGCAGCCAACACCACAGAGGCCCATGGACTAACTCTCACACTTGCTGGGACCCTGCTATCTCTAGTGGCCACTCTGTGCCTTTACCACATGTGTTATGGCTAAACACTGGCCATCAGCTCATGTCCAGATAAAACACAGCTTCACACAGCTCAGGGCAAGCCCTTAACGACAACCATAGCCAACTGGGAAGAACCAACAACGCAAGGCTCTCATTCATAACACCTAACACATTCGGTGTCCAGGGAGGTATTAAAGAGGAGGAGGATGATGAACCTGGAGAGGTGCAGGCAGACCAAGCAGTGAACTTCAGGAGCTCATTGAGCACAGTCCCTCTGTCTCCCCCTTCCTGTGGGACTTATGCTGAAGCCAGGCTAGGAAGGTTCTCAGAGTCTACCTGCTCCGGTCCACACACTGCTTCCTTTCAGTCTCCTCCACGATTCATTATACAATCCGATGGTTTGTTCATATTTTGCAATCAGATGTATTTTATTTTATTCATTTGAAGATATTCTATGTGGGTTCAGGGACCTTGCCAGCCTGACACAGGAGGGATGAGAGCCCCGACAGGGTGCACCAATAGTTTCAAACTAGGGATGAGAGTGTCTGCCCACATACTGACCCAAAGCCACACCAGCCCCACACCCCAGCAGCAGGCAGTCTGCTGTGGGCACCAGGAGATGTGGTGAGTGGTGCTTTGTTTCTCTCTGGCTTCCCTTTCTTAGCTATTTTTAAATTACTGGATTTTGTAAAAAGTAGTTAAGTATACTGACATGGTTTGAAATAATGTATTTTCTGATTCCTTTTGGACGCGTGTAGAATACCCTGCTTTTCTTTTTTTTTAAAAAAGATTTATTTATTATTTATGCATACAAGCATGGGGGTACAAGCCAGAGGTGTGAGGGGTGAGAGGATTCACCAGAGACAGAGTCGGGAAAAGAACAGTGAGATGTACTGAAATACACTGCTGAGGGAAGCAGTAGGTGGGTCAGAAGAGGTCTGCTGCACCATGTGGGTCACCTCCCTGGCCAGGAATCTAACTCGTGCTGCAGTGGCTGCAGATAGCTTCATACTGCTGTGTTTTAAACCACTGTACCACCAGGGAGGTCCCTTGCTTTTTTTTTTTTCACTTAATGTATTTCAGAAACATCCCCACATCCAAGATTGGCCTTGTTCAGTTTAACAACTCAGTAACACCCCATCTTGGGGCTATGGGGGCTACTTTCTGGGCTTCTATACGCTATAGGATGTTGGATGGTTTCCTGACTTTGCTCTTGGCAAGGAATGTTGTCAGGCAGGAGCAACTGTTTCTGTGGGAAAAAGTCCCAAAGCGATCCTGACCCCACTGGGCAAAGGGCTGGTCCCCTGCAACATGCTGGAATGATGGAACCCCAACAATGCATGTTCCAGAGAAAGGCTCTGAACAAATCCTGTGTCTTTAGCAGCAGCAGAGAGTGAAACACTGTCAGGCAGACAGATGCTTTGTTCACTGTAAACATCTAGCAGTTTCTACATAAGTATTTGCTTTTCAGTTACCAGTTCTACCCAGTCTATAGGACCAGAGGGTAAGAATTTGTAAAGCAGGTTGCTAAGTAAACCTTTTCTATATATCTCTGTATCAGTTAAGAACCCACTGGAAAATACGATGCATCTGGAGTCAATATTTCTTCCCACCAAGTGGAGTTCCGGTTCTACTTCTGGAATACTAAGCTGGAAATTTAATTATTTTTCTCCACCTATGAAATTATGAGACTTTCCAGCTCAAAAATTCTCTTAAACCAGTTTTCACCAAAAAATAACTCACATGTTTTTCAATCTATACCTGAGATCATGGTTTTGCCTTTTTCTGTCATTTCCACTCAAGGTACTTACTGCATGTCCTTGGGAGCAGATGCGGGCGCTGCACAGCTGCGGACTCCCACCCAGGTGGGTGGGGGACTCGACAGGTGCTCTTGGAGGAGCAGGGAAATGTGTGCACCTCCACAATGATGGAGCAAACCCAAGAACACACACATGGTCCTTCTCCAAGCACAGAAAGGGGAGCCAAGACAATGCTAGGCAGGGACTCTAAAGAGGAGGCAGAGAAGGGTCACAGCCATGGGGACAGCAGGAATCTGGTCAGGCAGGTTAAGCTGAAACGCCATCAAATTCTGCATAATCTGCTTTGAAAATGTGAATTTATTTCGACACATCTTAAGTATTTGGGAACAATCTGAACAATATGTGCAGTTTGCATGGTTGTGTGTGAACCTATCCAAGGGAAACTAAGTCACACCATTGAGGAGAGAGTACACATGCACTCTTGTGCACATGCACACATATATGGACACACTCATGCTCCTTAAACCTTCACTGCCTCCCTGGCATCATTACATACCTCCACCCACTTCTGCCATGGGCCTTCCCCCTGGCAGACTCCTCCCATAACCTCACAGCCTATGCTAAGTGGCAGCCTCTGACAGAACCCAGTGTTACATGCAAATCTCAGGTCTTTTTCAAGGTAGGGGGCTGCATTTATTTAGCACTCCTGTGCTCCTTAACCCCTTGATACGTGTGAAACGTCACCAATGGGGCTTTTGAGCACTATGAAACTGAGCCTGTATTTCCCAGGAGCTGTGGGCTTTGCATTGTATATTGATTTTTAAGAATCTCTATATTACCTAAGAACAGAAAGAACTGTGGTTATCAAAATATTAGCCAAAGTTGGAATAGAATACATACTTTATGAATGCATTAAATAGTAAGATCTAGCAGATTTAATATCCAGCATTCTAAGGCAGTGTTTGGGGACTTCTATGAGTGACAAAGCCACAGATCATGGCGTCTTCCCATATCCATAGATGAAGTAGTGCTAAATTTCATTTAGGGCTCAATTAGAGTGTGGGTAAGGACGGATTCACCTCCTTGCTGAATTTATTCCAGGTACTTAATTTTTTCCTGATGAGACTGTAAATAGGATTCCTTTCTTGTTGTCTTTCTCTTCTAGCTCCTTGTTTGCATTTTGAAATGCAGAACAGCTTTGCAAGCTGATATTGCAGACTGCCACCTGGCTGTGCTGATTTACTGTTTCCAGGAGTTAATCTACAAACCTTTTTCAACTTGGTTTTTTGTTGGGGATAGAAAAAAACATTTCATTCCATGAATTTCAAAGACCTTTAGCTATACAGAGAGCACATCCAAGGAAAGTACCTGGAACCTTAACCTTAAAACATCAATTTGAAGCCTTTATTCTATAGATTAGGAAACTGGGGTTCAAGTGTCCTGACATCAAATGCAATCTTCTTTTCTCTATTTCTGTCAAGGCTATAAAATCCACCAAGCACTTATATCATGGCTACTGAAATGCTACCATGCTCAGAAAAAACAGTTAAAATGAACAGGTGAAACACTTCCTGAAAGAAGCTTAGAAAATTGCTATTTTGTAATGACCAGTGAAGTAATATCTAAATAACAGCAGTTATTATTATTTAGGCATAATGAGGAATGCTCAAATCACTAAGTGAACTTTAGAATTTTAGAGTATAAAAGTTCAGGTTGACAAACTCTTTAACTTTTCCATCAACCAAACATCTACAAGTGAGACAATCGGATGTTTGGATCCGCTTGCTACATGGGACAAGACACAGGCAGCGTCACCAAGGAAGCTGTCCTGCCAGACAAACAAAAGCCCCAGCTGACTTGGTGTCTGACCATGCAGCTGGACCTGACACCAGTGTGTGAGGTCTGCAAGGGCTGGAGGATGGGCTGGTGCTTGGTGAAGACACAGCAGCAGATCCAGAATGTGGGAAATTCTACAGGACAAGAGACTCAATTCCTGAAGCAAGTGAATGGCATTGTAAAACAAGAAATAAAAGAGGGAGGAAAGGGGGTGGGGGACTGTCAGTGATTAACAGGGTCTTCTTTAGGGGACACATTCAAATGCAAAGTTGGGACCTTGTTTGGATATTGATCTGCACAGAGTAAAAAGCTACTTCTGGGATAAAAGGGGAAAATGTAATGTGGTCTAGTCATGAAAGAATTATTGTTCATTCTGTTGGGTGTGACAATGTCATAACTGTTTTTCAAACATCCTAATCCGCAGAGATTAAATGAAGAGGTACAGATCTTCACTGATGAGTGAAATGCTGGGAAGTCCAGGTTTTGCTTGAAAATGCTTCAGAGGAAAACACGTAAGGTGGGGAAAGATGGAAAACAAAAGTGGCAGAAGCTGACAGCTGTTGAAGGTGAGTGATTACACTATTCTTTCTACTTTCGCTGTTGTTTGAAATTTTCTGTAATAACATGCTTTTGAAAAATACCCAAAAGTTTATATTCATACCCCTAGGTACTTAGGAGGAGGAAGCTGGGGGACATTCACATTTGAATTTGGCTTTTTCCCTCCTCCTTAAAACCAGTGTGCAGGGGCCCTCCCTGGTGGCGCAGCGGGTTAAAACACAGCACTGAGACGCTAAAGCCACTTCCACATGAGTTCGATTCCCGCCTGCCCCAGAGGTGACCACATGGCGTGGCAGACCTCTCCTGACCCGCCCGCTGCTCCCCTCAGCAGTGTACTTCATGGATATGCCTTTTCTGCTCCCTACTCTGTCTCTGGTGAAGCCTCTCACTGCCCCTGAGCCTCTGGCCTGTTCCCCAGCTCTGTATGCACAAATAAATAAATCTTAAAAAAAAAAAACAAAACCCAGTGTACAACCGCTCTCCCTTAGAAACATGGAAAGACTTCCACGCTGATGCCGAGGGGGTTGCCCTTGTAAAAAGGACTCACAGGAAGACTAAGGGGATTAGGCAAACAGGTGGGGAGAGGAAGGGAAGCACATACGTTTCTGGCACTGCCCAGGAGATTCTCTGAGCTGATCGGGAGCAGAGTGCTCAGCTCCAGATCGGTGACCATCTGACGAGATTCTGCCAGCAAGCGCTGAAGCTTGCTTGTGGGAGAAAAGTCGTCCTGGGAAGGAGAACAGTGAAGCACTGGTGAAACTGGGAGGCAGTCTTAAGAGCTTTTGCATTACAAACACCACCATGAACTAAAACCTCTTGACTTTCAGGAATCACAAAGCCAAAGTAGGCCATTTAACACCAGAATAACCAAATTGACTTAGAACTTACAACTAATTGTCAGCATTCTGATAAAAGAATCCTAAGAACACTACATTCTCCTAAATCAACTCCAAGACATAATTACCAGGTCAAAGTACTTGCAAAATGCAACTTTAACATGGAAGACTTGTCCACTTTAAAATATATGGAAAAAAACAAAGATATGTGGAAACATGCACTTAGTTTAATTTTCAAATAATGGATCTTAGTTTTTAGTGTGTTAACTGCTCTCAAAATCACTAATATTCATTTTTTCATTAAGAGAATTTCTAATTTTTTTTATGAACAATGGAAACTGACCCAGATCTAGAAGATGTCAAAGAATGATCAGGGCCCTCCCTGGTGGCGCAACAGGTTAGGATGTAGTACTGTAAGCTGGCCATATCCACTTCACCTGCTGGTGGGGCAGTGGTTTGTTAAAGCACAGCACTAAGAAGCTAAAGCCACTTCAGCATGAGTTCGATCCCTGGCCCCTGAGGTAACCCACATGGCAAAGCAGACCTCACCTGACCTGCCCACTGCTCCAGTGTACTTCGTTGAACTGCCTGTTCTGCTCCCCACTCTGTCTCTGGTGAATCCTCTCACCACCCCTTTACCTCTGGCCTGTATCCCAGTTTGGTATGCATAAATAAATAAATCTTTAAAAAAAATTCACTTTGGCTTTGGTTAAATAATATAACCCAGAAGAAAAAACAGTAACTTGTGGGCCCTCAGCCTTCCAGGGAGTGAGAATGAGCAATATAAAAACAACCCAGCTGTGAAGATATGACCAAATTTCACAGGTGAGAAAACCAAAAGTAAGTCTTTTCCTAAATCAAAGGTTCTCAACCTTAAATGTGCACAGAATCCCCAAGAGGGCGAGTGTGACCAGGTTCCTGGGACCCAGCTCAGATTCAAGATGTCCTGGGAGGGCCCGAGACCTGTCTGCCAACCTAGACAGGTGAGGCTGAGACTGCTAGTCCAGAGAACCCACCCTTAGAACCACTTCCTCCAACAGCGCCCCCTCTTTTTCTTTTCTTCCAAATGCTCTACAAGTCAAAAGACCATAATGTGTGAATGAAACTTTTTTTGGGGGGGTAAATACTTTTTAATAAATACTGTACCACTTCCCACCCATTAACATAACAATTAAAAAGAAAACAGGGCCCTCCCTGGTGGCACAATGGGTAAGCTGGCTGCAGCTGCTTTAGTGCAAATTCGATCCCCTGCCCTGGAGGTGATCCACATGGCTTGGTGGAGCTCTCTGCTCCCCTCAGCAGTACACTTCGTCAATCAGCCTGTTCTGCTCCCCACTATGTCTCTGGTGAATCCTCTCACCACCCCTGCACCTCTGGCCTGTACCCCAGTTACATAAATAAATATGCATAAATAAATAAATCTTAAAAAAAAAGAAAACAGAAAATAACATGTTAATGAGGGTGAGAATGGGAACATTAATGTACTACTAGTGGGAATGTCAAGTGGTGCATCCACTGAAGAAAACAGTATGATGATCCTTTATAAATTAAAATTGCTATGGAATCTAGCAGTTCCAGTTGCATATATCCTTCCAAATAATTAATTAGCATGAATGGAACTTTTTAAAAAATAAATTTGCTGAATTAAAGCTTATTTCTCCTGTTCACTACTTGAAATCAGAGAATAGGTTCATTGAACTTTGAAAAAATACTGACTGCCTTTTTTTGTCCAATAGTTGTCGATAATTTTCTTGCTCTCTACATCACTTAGTCTCTAGGAAAACACCCGCCCGCCCCTACACGGCTCCTGAGTCTCCATGGTGACAACATCACACGGCTATGTGCTCAAGGGACACAGCTCACTCCGCAGGTCCTGTCCATGGCCTTGCTCTGGTTTTCTTATTAAAAGAACAAAGAGCTAAATGTGCTAAGGGGCTAAGTCTCAGTACTATGAGCTATCTGCAGCCACTGCAACATGAGTTCAGTCCCTGGCCAGGGAGCTGACCCACATGGCATGGCAGCTCTCTCCTGTCTCTCTGCTGGTCCACTCAGCAGTGTATTTTGGTCAGTTTGCCTGTTCTGTTCCCCACTCTAGTGAATCCTTTCACCCCCTACCCCCTATCCCCCACCTGTATATCTCTGGCCTACCCCTCAGCTCATCTATGCAAATATAAATAAAAATAAAAATCTTACAATAAAGGAATAATACTTTAAAATAAATCAATGTGCTAGTCTCCTATAAAGTCATGCAATTCTGTTAGTCATATATCACACAGTCAATCGATGTGTGTTCTCCAGAGAGCAATGTTCAAAAGTAGGCTCACCAACCAACCAGCCAATGAGTAAACCTCATCTCCCTGGCAGCCACTCTGGGGTACAGGTATTTGGAGAAAGGAGGGGCTGGCTGGACCAGTTGGGTAACATTTTCTGGGTATACATTTCTGGGTATTGTTTAAATTTACTTTACTATGAAAAAGTTTAAGTTGCCTAAAGAATTTAATTTTTTTTTTTGTGGGGGGGGAGAAGGGGAGAAGAGACTGCCTTAAAAGAACCTTAAAAGAACCTGCAATTCAGAAACCCAAAGAAAAGCCAGTGTGAAGGACGCCCAGGGCAGCAGGCTGCAAATGACAGAGGCCTGCCAGGCATTGCCAAGCCAAGAGCTCTTACAGACCTTCTCATTGAGCAATGCAGTGTCTTTGTTGATTGACAAAATCCTAGATGAGTTATTTTTATCAGAGGAAGACTCTGTCCCTATCAACTTCTCATCCTCTCTTGAGGGAGGTTTTGAAGAATCTGAAGAGTGGGATTGCTGGAAGGCAATTAGCTCACTGTGAATAAAACAGACACAAAAGGCATCTTAAGTCCATTTTCACACATAGACTGTCAGCGCTTAGACTTAAAAATATATGAATGGGGCCAAAAAATAAATTGCTTTTCTTTTTTAAATAAAGATACTCTGGTTTGAGTAGATTATTATAGATTTAAACAGAATATCTGAGGGAAGATATAATAAATGAAGACCTTGTCTGTAGTAAAAGTTAAAACATAATTCTTAAAGGGTTAGCAATAGAATAAAAATTTCACTCAACCTTCACCCCTGCCCCCCAACCTCCCCCCGCCCACCCAAAACACAAAAATTCAAGAGACAGGATCATCCAAACGGGGGGAGGAAAACAAGCACAGTAAATAATTAAAGTTGTTGAGATGGGTTGGTCCTGCTCATCCATGGGACGCAACCAGCCAGGGCTGGGCCTTTGGTGCTGCACTAAAGGTGCAAGAGGCTTTTTCTTGTCATTAACCCCTTAACAATCCAGTATGACAGCCTCTTCCACAGTCCTGACTCTGCATTAGTTATCAGAAGTAACCTAGAGATGGTGTAAAGTGCAGGGGCAGGGGAGGTTGCTGGGAGGTTCTGTGCAAATTCTGTAACATTTTACAGGTGAGACTTGAACACCCACAGATCTGCTGCTGGTGTTCTTGGAACCAGTCCCCAGAAGGTATACAGGGCAGAACCTATGCTTTTGGTTTGAGAGACTGATTTTTGTTAGTGGTTTTTAAAAGTCTCTTCTGAGGGAAGCTCGTTGGCTCGTTGGTCACAGGTCCTCTGGTCAGCCTGGCTTAATGGCTAAAGGTATCCCTGGGAGCAACTGTGAGGCCCCCAGGCCTACGTGAGCACAGGCCAGCAGGAACTTTTTCCTTCATGGGCTTGTTATCAGACGTATCAACCACAAGAATGTGAATGCTCACAGATGATAAAGTCAGATGATAAACATGATAAGGAACAGTGAAGCCTACCTTTGGAAAAACTGAAAAACATCTCACCGACTTGGTCATGTATTGGTCACACAATGTACATGTTTCTACTGGCTGAACATGAAGTCACTTCAATTCTTTCAAGCCAGGGAGAGAAGAAAACCCTTCTCGTTGGAGAAAACCCTGAATGTATTTACTTAAATCTAGTTATTTATTTACATACAGAAGAACTAGGCCAGAGGTGTAGGGGTGTGAGAGGATTCACCAGAAAGTGAGGAGCAGAACAGACAGAGCTACTGAGGGGGACAGCAGGGAGAGAGGAGAGGTCTGCTGTACCTCTCCCTTGGTCAGTTCCCTGGTTGGCGATTGAACTCAGGCCACAGTGGTGATAGCCTCAGGAAATTCTGAATTTAAACTTGAATTTTTGTTATTATATTCAGTCTGTGACCACTGTGCTCTTAAAACTACCCAAATCGAGTTCTTCCCTTCTACACATTGAGTCCGGGAGTGAGGACCACACAGCTGGGCCCTGTTGGGATGGATGACCCTCTCAAGAAGAGAAGGTACAAACAGCTGACATTTAGTGTGACAACTGTATTTTTCAAATTTTGCAACTTACATAATTACTATCTGTATGATTTTTAAATTGCTCAGTCTTCTGAAAGGCCCCAAGAATAAACCAAATAATGTAAATACCAGAAAATCTAATCACAAAGTCGTATGAAAAGTCAATGTGATGATTAAAAGAAGACTCTCAATATAGAAACTCCATCCTCTTCTGTAAGATTGAAGAGCTAGGTTGGTTTTAAAAATAGCAGTCATCACTACAGTGCCACTCAGCCACAAGACTCAGCAATTCTGGACAATGAGCAGAAGAACGTAGCAAATGCTAATAGCTAATCTATTTTCTTCTCTTAAAATAACCAGTAACTTACCAATTTGCTAACTACAAAGATTCTTTCCCTTGCATGATTTTTTTTTTTAAGATTTATTTATTTATTTGTGCATACAGAACTGGGGTACAGGCCAGAGGCTCAGGGGCAGTGAGAGGCTTCACCAGAGACAGAGTGGGGAACAGAACAGGCAGATCGATGAAGTACACTGCTGAGGGGAGCAGCGGGCGGGTCAGGAGAGGACTGCCACACCATGTGGTCACCTCCCGGGCAGGCGGGAATCGAACTCATGCGGAAGCGGCTTTAGATTCTCAGTGCTGTGCTTTTACCCGCTGCGCCACCAGGGAGGACCTCCCTTGCATGATTTTAAAAAGCACAAAAGTCTGGGGAAATGTGGAGTGAACACAAAGGCAGGAGCAGCTGGCTATGATCTAAGCCTGGTGGCCTTGGATGAGGGCAGAGGGCATGTCCGCTTGGGGTCTAAGGCCAAGCTGCCCAGACACCCACAACAGCGTGTCCACCGAGCATGGGGTCCTGGGGTAAGAGGAATGTCCCAGAGCAGCATTCTACCTATAAAGTGAGCTGCCTGTTTGTTTTAATTAGAACATATTTGCTCAACTCAAGACAACTGGCAGCATGACAAAACCTTTGCCTCTGAAGTCGTCCCAGATGCGGTGTTTTCACTGGTGAATGTGGCCCCAATAAGCAGTGGTGTGATGCAGTGTGTAAACAGCTTGTCTACTTTTTAAAGTACCTGCCATTACCTTGCATCTACAACTGATTCACACATTTTGCCACACCTAATTTGGCTACTGAGTCTCAGCAGATGTCTGAGACCTGCCTTCTGTTTCTGGATTGTGGTGGACCCTGGGGTCTGAGCAGGGCCCAGGAAGGGTGCCTGTGTGGCAGGCACACTCACTCAAGGATTTGGTTGTGGAAAATTTTGACTTGTCTTAAAAAAAAAAAAAAAAACTTCCCTGGTTTTTATAAATGAAATCAAACGTGTTTATTGCAAATTTTTTTGAGATGAGAATAATTACTTTCAATCTGACCACGTTTTGTAAACACACATAGCTATGACCCTCCTTAACCCCTCCTTGGTACTTCAATTTAACAAAATTTGGCTTACTCCCTCAGAATTAAACCTGAAAATGCCATTATATTGTTATACTTTTTAAAATTTATTTTTACGGGCTGCATGAAATTCTGTTCTTTGAATAGATAAATTACTAACTTGTCTATTCTCTTATGGCTAATCCTTTAGGTTGTTCCCTGATATTTCACAATTACAACTTTATGAATCAAAAATATGTGCAGGTGTGATTTATATAGGTGACACTGATATTCCCAGATAGCAGTCTGAACTGCAACAGAGTCAGTGTTAGGCAGTCATGTTAGTAGAAGGGTAGAAGTTCCTACCCCATCCCTGGTGCCCCCTACTTTACCCTTCTCCCTTCTCTCTCCTCCCTTAACCTCGGAGCCCTCAGGATGTTTATTAGTGCCCACCAGTTTCTGAAAGTGTTTTCCAGTAAACAGCTTGTCTTAAACACCACTCATTTACAAACACTGCTTCCCATCTAACAAGAAGTTGTGACAGGCAGCTGTGCCAGGCAGCTGTGCCAGGCAGATGTGGCTATTGCAGGACCATCTAGTTGAAGCCCCGCAGGCAGCCTCCCAGGGGGCCTGCAGCCTGGAACATTACTGACCTTGTCGAGTTGTATTTTGTTCCACTGCCACTTCCTGAACAAGTGCACACAGATTTGTGGCGAACAATTCTTTGCATCTTAGGAGGTTTGAAGAGATTCATCCATTCCACGTCTGACATGTGGCCCGGGGCCTCGATGATGAAGTTACTGGGGTGGCAGCACTTGGCGTCACACGTTTCGATTTCACCCAGACTCGCTTCATTTTTCTGGTAACAGGAGACTCCGGGGCTCTCCATGTTGTCCTGACATTCAACATCGAGCTTCTCTGGCTGTTTCGAACCTGAGTAGTTGGCCAGGCCCAGGTAAACGCTGACGTCGTGCCACTGCTTCTCATCAGGTAAAGACGACTCTGACTTTGTGTGGGTCGTGTACAATGCACTCTTGCTTTTGGGCTGAACCTCGAGTTTCCCCCCCTGCCACCATGGCTTTTGCTTCTCCGCTAAGTCTTTCGTAAGCAGAGATGAGATGGCAAGTGTACTTTTTTCCCCGAATGAATTATTTACCTGTAGTTTCTTCTCTTTGCATATATCACAAGAACTCTTATTATTGCTCCTATTTTGCTGACTCAACATGGTTTCAAATTTTTGGTCTTTAACCAGTGACTTCTGATTTTTCTCCCTCTTAATATCGACTTTTGGGTGGATATTTTCCAGGTCTGATAAACACATGTCTCTGCTACTGTGGCAGGACAAAAAACAGAAGTTAAAAGATACTCATACTGTGATCCTAGATACTTCGTCCAAACCTCGTTAGACAAGTCACATCCTGGTGAGACCCACTTAACTAGAACAAAACAGAAGGCATTAGATTTACTCTTTCCTAGGGCCTGCCTCCATAAGTCCCTACCACATGCCCAGTCACTGCCCTCCTGACCAGACTCCCACTGGACTCCTTGGTCTTCAGTGTAATTTACTGCACACGTTTCCAACTAACTGCCTCGCCAGTTTCCTATGACGATGATGTGCGCCCTAACTGGGCGAGGGCAGGCCTCATCATCTCAGCAGACTTGAGAGCCAACATGCAAGGCACCAGGGCCTCTGGCACTGATGCCGCCCTCAGCGCCTCAAGTATTTTCTGACAGAGAGAACTCTTCCTCTTCCCAAGGGAAGTGAAGCAGAAGTGAGGGCTGGTGAGATCCAGGCCCTGAGATGGATGAGCAGGTGCCTGTGTGTCTACCCCCGCACCAACGGCGCTTTCTGCTGGGCATTTCTGGAGCTACATGTTGAAAGCTGAGCTAAAGCAAAATGATGCAATAAAAATTACCGCATACAGTGAAGTGTTTTTGATAAAGTGTGCTCAGGCCTTCTCATCTGTATGCTGATCCCTCAGAAAGATAACTGTCCTCCAACTCCCACAATGAGATAAGCAATTCCCCATCGGAAGTAATAACCACCCATTTAGCCCAGGAGCCTCCTTGGGGTTCTGCCCGCAGGGCATATGAGTTGATTTTATTTTTTTTTTTGCAGCAGCAACACCTGGAACACAGCAGCAGCCTCAGAAGAGCAGTGGTGCAGAACAGCAGTGTGGCTGAACCGTACATTGTCTGCAGCCATTGAGCTGTAGCTCCTGCCACCCACTCCTGCGGCTACTGAAGGCCAAGACCTACATGGGGGGTGCGAGACATCTGAAGCCTCTGAGGGAATGTGCAGTAGTGGGGGTGAATCCCTAGTTCCTGCCCTTAGAGAAGCAGAATTTAACTGCAGAACAGTTAAGAGGGCTGTTAAATTAAAACAGTCCTCATCTATTTATACTTTAATTTTACAGAAACCAATCTAATTCACATAGGGCTTTTACAGGTGAGGAGAGCTGTCACATACTATAAAGTAATGAAGGTCAGAGTGGAGTCTCCCTGGGGGAGCTAAAAGTCCACTGTTCTGTGGTGCAAGTGCCATGCCCTGTGTGTGTCACCCCTCTGGTCCTCTTCCAGGGCCACAAACCCTGTTATGTGCTGAATGACTGAGTCACCCCTTCATTGATCATTAAATGATGATTATGGTGACTTCCCTGATGGTGCAATGGGTTAAAGTACACCACCCTGAAGCTATCCGCAGCTGCTTCAGCACCAGTTTGATGCCTGGCCAGGGAGGTGACCCACATGGCAAGGCAGACCTCTCTTGTCTTGCCCACTGATCCCCTTAGTGAGTGGTATACTTCAATCTGCCTATTCTGTTCCCCACTCTGTCTCTGGTGAATCCTCTCACCATCCCCAACACCTTTGACCTGTACCCAAGTTCAGTATGCATAAATAAATAAATCTTTAAAATAAAAAGCAAAAAACAATGATCATTAAATGATTGTAACGAAATGACTAAATTCGGGTCATGCCTAAAGTTCTAAAATCAGGTCTTAGAACTACAACCCAGGGTTATAATAATTATTAGTACACATATACTCATTCCCTCCTGTACTGGGAAGAGTAGCAGGCACTGGCCACAGTAATTAATAAATATTGACAGAATGATGGGATAAAATACAAAATGGTATTATCAGCATCTCACTGAGATTACCTGGATTCCAAGGCCTTTGATCCTTCCACCTTTGAGTCATAGATCTGTATTAATTCTTGAGAATTTTCCATGTTGAAATTTAGAAACTGCAGATCGCTCTGTTGCTTTACATAAATCTGCACAGACATCAGTCAATGAATATAATGTGAACAACACACTAAACCAAGCCAACAGCTCGGCCTTTTCAAAAGCTAAGAAGCCAGGTCTGCTTGTAACCAGAGAAATGGGTTAAAGATGTTTGCTCTAATTTTTCTCATGTTAGTCCCAATGCCTGTTAATTTAACTAGTCTGTTAGCTTTAACTAACATAATCAAGACCCCATCTGTAATGCTCACTCTGACATACATGACTATTGTAGTTAGGATGCCACAAGCAGCACAAACAAAAGAGGGCAAATCCTCTTCCTAATCTGATGTTTGTTGATAAACAGCCTTAGAAGGATACTTGGGACATACCTGTCTCAGGTTATGCAGTTCTGCGTTGGTGCGTTCTTGCTTTGACTTTGCAATATCAAGTAACTCATCTTTCCTTTTTTCTCTCTCTGCTATTTAAGAACAGATGTCATTAAAATATTTTTCATAAACTATATCAATTCAAACCTCTTCATTTCCAACAATTTATAACAATTACCCCTCTCCCCCCGATCCCTGAATTTAAAAATTGCAAAATGGACTCTGGGAGAAGCTTTAGTCTGTAAATCTGACTAGGTCTGGTCCTTCAACAAATGGAAATCTTTCACAGTATAATTAATGTGAAGTCAAAAAAAGGACTCAAACTCGCATCAACTCTACGGTCACATTAGTGTGACCAGAGTATTAAATTATTTTTGGTGGGAGAATTAATGACAATTATTTTTCTTGCTTTTTTGGGGGGTGGAGGGTGATGATTTCTAAATCTCTAAAAGGAAAACCTATTACTTGAATTTCAAAAGTTTTTGACATTACATGGGCAACTTATGAATGCATTCTCATTGTGAAAGCCCAAATATATTACCTTTAGCAACAGAAAAAATAATAACATTACATGGGACAGGATATCACTATTTTGACCAGAATGCAAGTCAGTTTGCCATGACCTCACAGTCAGGCCCTTGTGGGGTATCCTGTGTCCAAAGGAAGGAGGTGTACCTAGGACACGTCTCCACTGATAGCCAAACTGTATGTCCGTCTTAATCAAAGCCCAGTTTTCTTTTAAGATTTTCTATTACTTGGAAAGTCTTTTCACATGGTTGAGAATTAAAATGCAGAATTTTCTATAACATACATAATTACACTTCCAATTTCTTAGTGCAGAATGGACAGGACAGGGAGGTTTTTTCTTTTTTTAATCTTCATTCCTTTAGAGAGACCAAAAGCATTTTGTGCAAACATGGACACTGGTATTACTAGAATTGGAGTACAGGAGATCAAGCTTCTCAAAGCAATGTGAGAACTTAAGAACTGAGAGCCCACAGAAAGGAAAGAGCCTTGTACAGGGACTTGCACCAGAAAAGAATACCAATAATACAAGAACTAATTTGATTTACATAGAAGAGATATGTCAACAATAAATATGCCACTTAAAAAAATCAATATCAGAGATTCAAGCTAAAAGTATAAAATGATCCTCTAACTACATGAATCAATTCTAAGTAAATCTGATGCAGTTGAAATAAAAATTGCCCCTCTGTTTATGGTCTTTTCATAAAACCCCTTTTTCATGTGTCCTTTTTTTTTTTTTTAAAAGATTTATTTATTTGTACATACAGAACTGGGGTACAGGCCAGAGGCTCAGGGGTGGCGAGAGGTTTCACCAGAGACAGAGCGGGGAGCAGAACAGGCAGATCGACAAAGTACACTGCTGAGGGGAGCAGCAGGCAGGTCAGGAGAGGTCTGCCAAGCCATATGGTCGCTTCCGGGGCAGGCGGGAATCGAACTCATGAGGAAGTGGCTTTAGCTTCTCAGTACTGTGCTTTAACCCGCTGCGCCACCAGGGAGGGCCTCATGCGTCCTTTTTTTCATAGACAAAATGCTTGTTAACACTTCACAACTGGGACATCCCAAGAAGTGTTCCAGGGCACATACGTGTGAAGCTCTACAGTGTGTGGGCCCCAGGGGGTCGGGGAGGGTGGAGAGAAGAGGGGGGTGCAGAGCTGCCCGCCTCCATGTAGCTTCTTACTTTAAAGGGGACCCTTGTGCACAGAAGAAAGAGGAGCACAGGGACAGCTACAGTGCCAGGTTTAAGCCACTGTCTGCTATTCGGTGCCAGGGTTCTTTGCATTCGTGAGTGGACATTGCCACGGAAGCACACCAATATAGTTGGCTTGCATTATTTATGTGAATTCAGTCCATGCACAGAAGAGACAATGAGAAAGGAAAGGCAACTACGCCACCCAGAGTGCAGAGATACATGTTTTGGAAACAGCATAGCCCGAACAAAAGCCAATTGCTTTAGACCTGGCCCTCCAGAGTGACAGCCCGGGGGAGCTGGCGGGGAGGTGGGAGGTGGGGCGGGTAGACGAGGTCCTCTGACATTGGAACAACTGACTGTTGGGAAAGAGGCAATTCATAGTGCATTTCCCCAAAACAGATACTTTTCTAGGTGGCCATACCTGTGAGATCAAAGTGGAGAGTTTGCCCATTGTCACAGAAAACAAAGAGGCATTGAGCCTCAAGAAAGGCAGCTCAAGAAAGACAGCAGGCCATCAAGGACCCCACCAGGTTCCAGCCAGGCTCTGCCCATCTAGCCTAGGCAAGGGGGCCTGGGCAAAAGGCCCAAGGGTCTGAAGCCTCAGGTGACTCAAGCACTGGAAGGTCAGGGCCACAAAGATGAAAACTGGCATCATCACTTCACTGGCAAACTTCTTACCACCAATATGAACAGACACATGGGCCCAGGCCCTAAGCCTGCATGAAGAATCTTGAACAAGAGGAAAACAATTTTGAACATAAAAGCCCGTTTTTTATAACATCTTCCAATTTCAAATAGAAAGTGTTAACTTTCAGCCACATTGGCTTGACAGCATGTGATCCAGCCAGCCATCAAGACTTCTAAAATGACTTTTTACCTTGACTTATTTTTATAATTTAAACATAAAAAAACTGTTGAGACAGTGATATGAGATTGTGTTTCAGCAGAAAAGATGTGTTAAGAAATGATAAATTATTTCACAAAGTGGATTTATTGTATCAGCTAGCACATTCCATGTACCTTACCTAGTAACACATTAATAGGCCTATGAGTAAAAATGAGGGGCCACAAAACAGGCGCCGTTAAACAGCTTGTAAACTTCGCTGCTCCCTTCACATCACAGCATTTGTTGGCTCCTGAGTCCTCCATAGCCTATGAGTTTCTTAGCAACCAGCAGCATGCCTGGCATATAATGTTGATTCAAGATTGCTGGAGTTCAAATGTAAGGCTACAAATAAGCCCTGTCCTTAGTAAGAGATGGCATTAGACTTACTAGTCCCAGAACTAGAGGAGAGAGTGGCCCCTAGTGGTAGACAATAGCATTTCCCCCAAATCCTTAATTATTTGTATTTACGAACATTCTAACTGAAGAAATTTAACACAATACTGCAGTTTCCCATTCAAGGAAGGGAAAGTTCTCTCCTGGAAAAAGGGCACTAATGGTGCCCCACGTCGGTGCTAATTTAGTGCTCTCTGGGACTCTACCTCCAACTCTATGAAACTCCATGAACGGGCAATGAAATCCTGGCTAGCTGGGAGAAAGGCAAGACATAAACAAGTGATTCTCACTGGGAAGTGGAGAAAGGAAAGATTTCACTAGCAGAAACTTGGACACACAAATGTGGCCAGAGATAGAGCTTGGGGGGACAAGGCTGGGGAAGAGGATGTTTGTCCCTGCTTATCAGGAGGGGGCCTGAGGTAAATATTACAACACAATATTTCCTCCCCCACATTATCACTCACAACGAAACACAGGGTGGTATTTTTCAATTGCAGTAATTAAAAGGTGGTCTACTCGCAAATCTGGAAACATACTGAATCCCAGTCTTCGTCCAGTGTTTGCAAAACTACAAGCGCTCCCCTAACCTTAACTCACTACACCCTCTCTTCATAGGTTTCGAGCTGCAGGGAGCTATGCTGGGGAGAAGTGTAGCCCCCACCCAGCCTGGCCCAGCCCTCTAAGGCGGTGAGAGAAAAACCAACTGCTGTTCTGGGATTATCTACACATAGTTATTTAATCAATAAAATTGTCTATTTTTACCAGTAAAAACCAATTCATCGTGTAGGCAACTTTTCTCTTGCTTGAGGCGAATGATCTCTTCTCGCTGGTCATTATTTTCTGTTGTTTTCTCATTTAGATCCTCTTGGCAAATAGAAGGGGGAAAAATCCTCAAATAAATAGCAGTTGCTGGGAGAGCACACTCTGAATACCCGTGTCCCCAGTCTCCTCCCAAGACCAAGGAAGTATTGTTGGGCAGGCAGGCCCCACAGCCAACATGGTGTTCACTGAGCCCCTGGCAACGACCCCTGCATGGCAGCACTGTCTCTGGTCTGATTGGCCTCCCGTCACAGCCCGCTGCCCACACAGCATGACCTCTGAATAGCAGAAGTCTGCTCCTGTCACGCTGCAGCGAACGCCTCCCACCACCAGCACAGAGAGACCCAGACTCATTGCCATCAGCCAGCTGCTTTGGCTCTGCCTGTCATTCCTTCTTTCCTGCTGATCCGGAAGCATGTCCAAGCTTCAAAACCCACCCAGGACTTTTGCGTTGCTGTCCCATATGCCCGCAACATTCTTGGCCCAGAGCTTCAGGCCACCAGTTCTTCCCACCATTCAAGACCCAGCTCCGATGTGAACTTTTCTAAGATACAGTCCCAGGCCACCCACACTCTGCCTCTACTTGCCTCGCTCTCCAGCCTACTAGCCCTAAATACTTAATTTGTAAAATACAACATACATGTTAATAAAAGACTTCTTAAATAGGTTTGCACACGGGTTCAATAAACATTTATTGAAACCCACAATGCACCCTGGTGCTCTGAGATCACCCGTAGATTACAGAAGATGGTCTGTCCCGCTCTTGAGGGGTGTGACTAGGGTTGAAGCTGAAGCTACAAATGGAGACAAGCTCTATGATCTTCCATATACTGTACAGCCTAAGAACAAGAGTTTGGGGTGCTGAGTCTCTTAAACTAAATCAACCACGATCACAGTTACAGAATCCCTTAGCTGTAAGGAATGCAAAAGGGTGTTTAGTCTTTGGAATCTTCTCCAAAGACACCTCACTTTACACATCCAACAATAGCAGTCACTGCCTCACCAGACACTCACTGTGGACAGAGGGGCAGTGCCTGCCCTCCATGGCTTTGTCACTGTCTCCGAGGTCACCTGCTCCATGTGGTGGCCTTCCTGTCCAATGCAATGATGCTCCCCCACCTGGCAGTTTAGTTGCCCCACAGTGGGAACAGGTCATAGAAGGCGGACCTCTGCTGACAAATCTAAATGCTCCTTTCCCCAGAGCCCCACGCACACATACAGCAGCAACCTACTCAGCGTGTCCAGCCTTCACTTCCTCCTGAAGCTGTGGGTAACACTGCTCAGCAAGACTCAGTTATGGAGCTGCTGTGAGGACAGGAAGGAAGGAAAAGAACCCACAAGGAATTTTCAAAACCAAAACACAGCCCCAAACCACTGCAGTAGCCTATGTTGTCAGCAGCAATCCCTTCCCTTCCCCATGACGTCTGCAATTGCTCCTGCAACGGGCAGGGTGACGTGTGGCTACTGCTAAACTGGGTGCAGCCCTGGTGAGGGAAAGGAGACTGTACATGGGTGCAAGCCCAGCCTTTAGGAGTCCCCTGTCCTACATTTCTGTTTCTCTTAAGCCTCTACCTTTCCCATGGGTAGACATGCCTGGCTTCTCAGTGAGGGGAAGATGCGACTCATGAAGTGGAGCTGCCCACATGAGTGACTGGGCCCCCAAGATCTCCCAATTCCCACCTGACCTCCAGATCCATGAGATTAAGAAACATGGCTGAGTCATTGCCACGTAGCTTACATCACCCACACCAATGGGCACAGCTGCCCAATGAAGGCGGGCCTGCTGAGTAAAGAGGACACAGCTTACAGCCACATGGATGACATGACTGAAGCCACACAGACCCACTATCGGCCCCAAGAGGGACACCCCAGGGAGAAATATAGCTCGGGCGGAGGGCTCTGGCCTGTGCCCCATCCTCACCTTTCAATTTACTGACTTCGATTTTAAGGGCTTTCAGTTTCTGCTTGTAATCCTGCTTTTCTTTCACAATACAAGTCTCAACCATCTTGGCGTCACGCAAGGCATGCTCCAGCAGCTTAAATTTGCCTGAGCAGTCTGAGATGTGATTGACTGCCTCAATGATATCTTTGTCCTAAAAGCCAAATTTGAAAAGTTACACAGAGCTTTTAAACTCCCACCAATCAACGTGAAGATCTCACACGTACTGAGATCTCAAAATCATTCAACACAATCCAAATGTGTTGGTAATCGACACATTTACCTCTGTGTCCAGCAATAGCCAAGTCAGCAGCTGCTGCCCACATTCACCCAACCAGCCAGATAGAGAGAGACTGAGCCTGCTGGCCCTGAGTCCCAGGCCCCGACTACCACCCCTTCCTGTCTCAGTGGTTAGGAGCCAAATGATTCCATTACCTGAGAAACCACAGTGACAACAGGTGGGGTGGCAGCCCCTAGGTGGGTTTTCACTCTTTGGGTCAAAGATAAATCCCCAGGACCCCCACTTTATCATCTTCTCAGCTTGTGAAAAAGGATAGGCTCTAAGACATCATCCCACATCTATTCAGATCAGAACCTCTTGTTGTGAGGTGGTTGATTTAATTACAAAGTGTCTGCTTTAGGGGGCTTCCCTGGTGGTGCAAGGGGTGAAGCACAGCACTGTAAAGCTATCCACAGTCACTGCAGCACAAGTTCAATACCCAGCCAGGGAGGTGACCCACATGGAGCAGCAGACCTCTCCTGTCTCTCCTGCTGCTCCCCTCAGCAGTGTATTTCAGTCAATTTGTCTGTTCTGCTCCCAACTCTGTCTCTGGTGAATCCTCTCCCCTACCCCCTTGTACGCGTAAATAAATAAATCTTTTTTTAAAAAAAGTGTCTGCTTTAAATAGCAATTAAGAAAAACCTAAAGTGTGAAAATATTAAGTAAAAGTTCCTCCCCACATGCTCCTGGAACGGCACCATGAACAAGTCCCCCGACTCACAGACAAGGTTTTCTGCTGTATCATCAGATACTTGCTCTGAAGCCTTCCCATCTGCACAGACTACCACGAGACTAGGGAAAAAAAGGGCTGGGACACTAAAGATGGGGGACTCTGTGCAGACTCCTACTTTCTCCTTTGGTAAGTATGTCCCAGAAGGAACTGCCTTGTAGGGAAGGTCATTCTCATCAGAATTCCAACTCTGGCTCTATGAATGCAAGTCCTCTTCCCTGAGCCACCATCTGAACGTAGGGACACCAGTTACTGCCTACTAAAGACAGGGTCATCAACCTTAACACGTCCTCTCTAATTTTTTTTTAAATAATAGTTTATTTTTACATCATTTTGTGCCTTTTTCCATCTCAGTTGTAATCCCCGTGGGCTTCCCATCACCAAATCACCCGTTCCTCTAATTTTTTTTTTTAAAGATTTACTTATTCATGCAGAACTGGGGTACAGGCCAGAGATGCGGAGGGTGAAAGGACTCACCAGACAGAGTGGGGAGCAGAACAGGCAGGTCGACGAAGTACACTGCTGAGGGGAGCAGCGGGCGGGCCAGGAGAGATCTGCAGCGTGAGGTCTGCAGCGCCACGTGGATCTCCTCTGGGGCAGGCAGGGATTGAACTCATGCGGAAGTAGCTTAAGCTTCTTAGTGCTGTGCTTTAACCCACTGTGCCACCAGGGAAGGCCCTCGTTCTTCTAATTTTTAAGGAAGCTTTTCCCTTATCACTTCAGAACACTGAGGTTTTCACATCCTCTTGGACCACTGGTTAAACACAAGTGCTGTGAGGTGGGAAGGGAGGGTCTAGTCACCCTCATCACATGTTCAAGGCTGCCCACTGCCAGGCCACTAGTTTTTCCTCTCCTGTTCTGATTAAAGCCCAAAACATTAAAAAGCAACCTGATTGCCAATAACTTTATGAGACCTGGTGGAAGTTAACTGAGGCAGGATTGGCCAAGAAATCAGCATTGGAAGCAGAGACCAAAGTGGAATCCTCCTCTCATCACTTTAAACATGGTGTTTCTCCCATTTCTAAAACAAGAATTGAAACAACACGGCCAACATTGGTGAATCTCCCTGTTTGAGTGACTGTAGGGCTCCCACAAGATTAGGAACATGGAAATCATACTTCCTAGGCTACAGGATGCCTGGCTTGAGATACTGTTATTGAGTTACCTTCAGCTTTATCATTGTGGTGAGAGCCTGTTCTCGAGCTTGTAATTGTCCTACCTGAGCAGAAAGTTCCACTAACGTGTTGCTGAGATTTTCGTTTCGCGCCTATAAGGGAACACATACAGCTTTTAGTGCCATGACCAGCCATAATCTCTGCTCAAATGTCTGCCCTTTCTTTCGCTGTTTGACCTTAGAGAGCTAAGTAAGCAACATCAAAAAGGAGGAAAAGTGTCTAATTCTCCATGAACTCCAGCACCCCCTCAATACGTAGCCTTGTCCTAATGAATTATTTTAGGTTAGTTTGTAATCATGTCTATTTCATTAGGCCTTTGTGTGCAATTTGGGTTGGCACAGATGCTAAAAAGCAGAGTAGTAAGAGTACAAAGGGTATCCCTTTGCTGACATAAAATAGCATTAGAGAACCTCTGTGTCAAAACCTATGCTGAAAGAATTTCATCCTGAGGTATTTTGCACTCATCAGGTTGTTTTTAAACCACAACTATATCTGATAAAATTATTGGACACATGTTGTGTTTATTGGTTGGGAAAAAAAGAATCATCAGGTTTTTAAAGAGCATCTTTTTTTGAAAAAGAAAAGTGGAGGCAATTCGAATGCATGATATTAAGGGAAACGAAGCCAATCTGAGAAACCTACAACCCTTTGGAAAGAACAAACTACAGAGGCTGTTTGGGGCTGCAGGGAGGGAAGGATTGTCAGGGCGTCAGGGTGACACAGCTGTCCCACACAATGTGGCAATGGTGCAGAGACGCTGCTTCAGCTCCCAGAGGCCATGCCATACCCAAGCGAGCCTCGTGAACACTGGACAGCAGCTGAGTGGCAGCTTGGACTAATAGAGGGCTCGAATGCAGCACAGCAGTGCGGGGTGTCTGTGGAGAGGGCTGTGTGCACGTACAGAGGCAGGGATACTGGGAAATCTCTGTACTTTCCATTCAATTTTGCTGTAAATCTAAAGTTGCTCTAAAAAATAGTTATTTTAAAATATATATATACACATATATATTTTCCTGCTGTAGACTGAACCACGTTGAAACCCTTACCTAACTGTGTGGCTGTGTTTGGAAGGGAGGCCTCTGAGGCACAATCAGGTTCATGTGAGTCATGAGATGGGCTCTCACAACAAAGACACCAGGGAGCTCGTCTGCTCTCTCATTCCTGTGCAAAGACATGCATTGCCAAGGGGGTAGCTGGGGACAGGTAAGGCTGATAGTGCACACCAGACACTCTGGTACCCCATCTCCAACTTTTAAACTCCAGAACTGTGTGGAGAGAAACTTGTGTTGCTGAAGCCCAGGCCTATGGTATTTTGTTAGGACAGCCTGAGCAAACTAGTACACTTCCATTTTTAAAATCCAACATACCAACTGATTCTAAAATATTTCTTATCTTATACAACAGTGATCTATAAAGGAGTAAAATAAAATTTACATTATCATTGTGAATTATTAAGGCCCATTCTATTACCAAGATCTCTACTGAATATTGTGAAACAAATCAAAGGCTGAGACAAACCAATCTGCTGGCTCTCCTTGTGCCCCTCATAAAGCATAAGCTTAGTTAGAATTGAAAAATCAGTTACAGATTTTATTCCCAAATATCTACTTAGTGTGTAGCTATTTATCACAGCATATAAGATAATCATTTAGAAATTAGAATTTGAAGCTACCAAAACTTTATATACTGATCTTAGAATCTAAGGAAGATTTTTTTTTAAAACAAACCACTGTTGATAAAATGGTGGGTACTACCATAATCAGTGGCCTGAGGGCCAGGGTGGTGTAAGGAAGCATGATCTTAAACGCCAGGCAGTTGCCCCAGTGTGAGGAAGACTGGAGCATGTTGATGGGTGGACGACAGATTTCCATGTACCACAGAGATGTTTTTCCACAGAAACACTTAAATCTCTTTTTTCAACTACCAAAATGCAAACAGTGTTTGGGTTGGTGAAGCTTAGCCAAAACTGAAAACCCACCTCCAGATCTTCGGAGAGCAGAGAAGAATGGGTTGCCTTTTGGACCATTTCCTGAAGCTGTAGCTGAGTCTTCTGCAGGGCCGTCTGGCACTCAATTTGATTAGATTCAAGGGTTTTTACCTTTTTTGTGAGTGACCTGATGATTTCAGTTCTTTTGTGTAGTTCACCTGAGGGAAAGTACTTGTCTGTGGTCAGAGCTGAAATTACAAATCCATGACCTTCAAAACTTGGTTAGAAAAGAAAAGGGTGCTAAGGAAAAGATTGCAGGCTATTTGCAAGATTGCTATGATTAAAAAAAGTGACCATCTTTAGGTCAAGTTCAAGGTTAAAGATCTGGGACTCAGTTTAAGAGAAACAGCTGCTCCTGAGCACTTTCGTCAGAGTCTAACTATAGATGACTTTCTTTCAGGTGCAGTCCTGATGCTCCATGCTCATTGATGCCCTATGCAGTGTGCCCTCCCGGCTTTTAAGTACTTTTTCTGCCCTATTTAATATTTTTTAGCATTTGGGTACATTTTATTTTATTTCATTTATTTTTAGGATTTATTTTTATTTATTTAGGCATACAATAGCTGGGGTGTAGGCTAGAGGTGCAGGGCTGAGATAATTCACCAGACAGAGTGAGGAGCAGAACAGGAAGAGCCACTGAAATATACTGCTGAGAGGAGCTGTGGGGAGACAGGAGAGGTCTGCTGCGCCATGTGGATCAGCTCCCTCTCTAGGGATGGAACTCAGGCCGCTGGTGATAATATAAGTTATTCTATGTTTTTATTTTATTTTATTTTTTTTAAAGATTTATTTATTTATTCGTACAGAACTGGGGTACAGGCCAGAGATGCAGAGGGTGAGAGGATTCACCAGAGACAGAGTGTAGTACAGAACAGGCAGATCGACGAAGCACACTGCTGAGGGGAGCAGTTGGTGGGTCAGAAGAGGTCTGCCGTGCCATGTGGTCACCTCTGGGGCAGGCGGGGATCGAACTCATGCGGAAGTGGCTTAAGCTTCTTTGTGCTGTGCTTTAGCCCGCTGCGCCACCAGGGAGGGCCCTATTCTATGTTTTTAATCAACCTTGACAACCCCTGGTGATGTAGTGGTTAAAGTCTCAGTTATCAATTATTGGCAGCACTGTGGCATTAGTTCAACCTCCTGCCAGGGAGCTGACCCACAGAGCACAGCAGACCTCTCCCATCTCACCTGCTGCTCTCCTTAGCAGTGTATTTCAGTGGATCCTTCTGTTCTGCTTCTCACTGTCTCTGCTGAATCTTCTCACCCCGGCATCTCTGCCTTACACCCCATTTCTTGTATGCATAAATAAAATCTTAACAAAAAGATTTACAACAATGTGTTTCAGGTGCACAACTCTGCTAATGCATGCTTTCACATCATGCTCACCATCACAACCCCACCTTAGTCCACTAGGTCCCCTCCCTGCCTTGGACTCCACTCCCGACCACTGACTTTTGAAAACTCCAGTTCTGTCATCAAATTTCAAGATTTTTTTTTTAAATCAGTTCTGTTGCTTTGCTCATTATAGCCCATCTAACAGAGAAATCACCTGGTATTCTGGTATTTGTCTTTCTCCTGACTAATTTGGCATAGCATTGGCCCCGCTTCTATCCATGCTGCTGCAACTGTCCTACTTTAAATGCATTTGTGTTTGACCATGGGTGATCCTAAAGCCCTGTCCTACAGATTGTAAGAGAGAATCGATGGCCACCATTCAGAGCACACTCAGCAGTCTAACCAAGCCACCTGAACACGTGGCTGACCTTCCAGTTTGCTGCATCGTTCTTCCAAAGTCAACACTTTCTGTCGATCCTCCTCCCAGGAGAGAAGCTGTCTCTGGTGCACAGCCACCATGTCGTTGAGCTCTTTATCACGGTCTTTCAGCTCCCCAATGAGCAGCTGCAGCTCCTTCCGCTGTTTCTCAATAGTGGAAATCTCAGCATCCGACCCGGTGTTCTGAACATAAGTGATTTAATATCAAAATAAAATGAACCGATAATATTTATCAGCCAAAGCATATTCCCAAATAGTCTTCCAATTCTAGGTTCTATTCACTATCAACAACAGCATCAAACTCATATGCATTTAAACTAGTTAAAACTAACTGTGCATTCTACTTCTATGGTTGCACCACAATCTTTTAAAAAAATTTTAAAAAGTTGATGTATTTATGCATAGAAGAACTGGGGTGTAGGCCAGAGATTGGGGGGCAGGGAGTGAGAGGATTCACCAGAGAGAGTGGGGAGCAGAGCAGGCAGATCTACTAAAATACACTGCTGAGGGGAGCAGTGAAGAGACAGAGAGGTCTGCTGTGCCATGCCGGTCAGCTCCCTGGCACCATGTCAGTCTGCTCCTTGGCTAAGTATCAAACTCTGTGGTGCAGTGGCTGCAGACAGCATCAGAGTGCTGAGACTTAACCCCTGCACCACCAGGGAGGCCCCATACACACTCTTAAAAACTGGGATTGTTTTTCAAGCTTCTCTTGGCTAACCCATTTCTGTTAACTCTCTCCTTATACACTTTGACTTGTTGCCCTAGCAGTTCTTTTTTTATTACAAAAGTTTATTTTTACAACCTAGCAGTTCTTTTAAAGAAAATGTGGTAGGCATGGTGTGAGAGCATGCTTTAGCAGAGTTGTGAGCCTGTACCCCTGAAACAGTGTTGTAAGTCAGTTTTTTTTTTTATACTTTCAAACATAATCATTTTCATACACCTTACCCATGCACACTCTTGTGATCAAGGACACAATATCCTTCAGCTTCAATATCAGGATGCCATATAAAAACCAATTTTGTAAGAAGTTTTTTCAAACATAAAAGAAACCATGCAGTAACCCTCATCTCAGTGTGAGGCACTATCAAGACTTTTTGCCACATTTCAATTTTCCTTTTCATTGTTGATCAAAAATGTTATCCTTACAGAGCCTCCCTGGTGGTGCAGGGGTTAAGTCTCAGCATTATGACGCTATGGGCAGCCACTGCAGCACAAGTTTGATCCTGAGCCATGGAGCTGACCCACATGGCATAGCGGACCTCTCCTGTCTTACCTGCTGCTCCCCTCAGTAGATCCGCCTGTTCTGCTCCCATTTAGTCTCTGGTTAATCCTCTCACCCACCGCACCTGTGGCCTGTACCTCAGAGCTTCTACGAAAAAATACATAAAATCCAGCTTATCTAGTGGTGCAAGGGGTTAAGCACTGTAGCTATTGGCAACCACTGCAGTACCACAAGTTCAATCCCTAGCCAGGGAGGTGACCCACATGGTGCAGCGGACCTCTCCTGTCCCAGCTGCTACTTCCCTCAGTGTATTTCAGTACACCTGCCTGTTCTGTTCCCTACTCTGTCTCTGGTGAGTCCTCTCACCCTCCACACTTCTGGCCCAGTTCTTGTATGAATAAACAAATCTTTAAAAAAATATTATCCTTTCATATGTCAGTATACAGCTCTGGAAAGGCTCATGAGCATTTGCCCTTTTCCTACTTATAAGAAGACTGTATCTACTCCTTTCCAGCAGATACCATTTTGTAGTTCTTGTATGGTGAGATCATGCAGACTTCAATGTGAATCCAGAATCTGCCACTTAGCAGCTCGAAATCTTGGACATTACTCTAGCCCTTAGTTTCTTCAGCTGTAAAATGGCCCAACAGTACTTATCCCCCAACAGCACTTATCTCCTTATAGATGAAACACTTCAGCAAATCTGGCACATAGTAAGTGCCAGTTAACCAAGGTCACACAACACATTTCAACTTGTGGTACTGTCTTCAGTGATAAAATAAAGAACTTTTTATGAATTTTGTTTTCCTTCCTTTTTGTCCCACATCACCATGGGGTTGCTTGGTAGCTTCCATTTTCCCAGCTTCTTGATGTCACCCAAGGAAGGCATGAAGAAAGCAGCCAGAAAGTCGGTCAGGAAAGACAAAAGGCCCAGCGCACAAATCCAGGGATAAGGCCAAAAAGATGGGTGCAAAGGAAAAGTTGGGACCAAGTCAAGACCTACTCTTCTATGACAAAGACATACATGACAAATTCTGGAAGGATTTCCCCAGCTCAAGGCTGCCAAGCTAGTTGTTGGGTCAGATAGCCTGGAGGCTGGTGATCCCTTGGCAGGGAGTTCTGCACCAGGAGTTCCTCACCAAAGAGCTCATTACACTGGACACAAAGCCAAGGCACAGAGCTCAAGTCTCTTACACCAAGAACATTTGAGGGTAGGGCACCCCAGCTGTGGACAAAGATGCAACCCCAGGCCTTCCCTCTGTATATTTTGAAAAATAAAACTTTGCTAAATAAATGTTTTAAAGAATTCTATCTTTAAGACTATCAAGATCACCAGACGTCCAATTAGGTGCTTACTGCTTTCTAAAACATAAGCTTTGCAAATAATGACAATGAATTATAAGTTACTTACTAGAAACTAAATACAACAAGTGGGAGTGGGAGCCAAAGGCTCTCAGGTCACAAGACTTAAATTTCTGCCCTTGATTTGTAAGTCTTTCCTTCTACAAATATTTACTGAATGCCTAGGAGTGGGCATGTAGCAAAGAGCAGCCAGATTGGGAGAAGCCTAGCCTCTGACAGCACTGGAAACCTGTACCAGATAGACAACTTCATGTCCTCTGGGTGATGGAGGCTGAGAGCAGAGTTTAGGATGGAGCTTCACAAGGCAAGCAACTAAGGAGGGGCAGAACCAATGCTTGGCAAAACTGGCAGTGGAAAATATCCTTAGGCACAAACCAGAGGTGGGGACATGGAGAACTGTCTGGATTACAAATAACACTAGTCCTTACAACTCACCTTAGAAGCTACAGATTCCACAACGGACAAAATTCCACAAAGGAATGAATCCCCCCCAAAGAATACTACATAAGGGTACCCCTTGCTCTAGCAAAAAACGCAGCTCCCTGCCCGCCTGTGTCTATGCATGTGTCTCTTTAGTTCTTTCTCTTTTTCCTAATAAACGTGTCTTTAAAACTCAGCCTTTGCCTGCTCATGTCTATGCAGTTGTCTTTGTCCTTAGTAAACTCGCGGTGTGCTGCCAAATGGGACACTCCAGCCAAGCTTTTGTCAGCAGGAACCCAAGGACCCCAGCCACTCGCTGAAGCTCATTCATATCATCCCATTCCCATGCGCAGATGCAAACCACCGCAAGCAGCGGTGCCAATATTCGGGGACAGTTACCAGTCTCATACCCCACAGGGCGGCCCGCGGAGGTGCCGGGCGGGAAGCCAGGTGGCGGCGGAAGAGCTGTCCGAAAGGCCCAAGTGGGAAAACGGGGCCTGGCGCCTGCCCCGGGGACGCAGGGGGCTGAGAGGACTCCACGTCCTTATGAAGCCTAGGGGACCGGCGGGCCGGCCCCGCTCGCCCCTCGCGGGCCCATCTGAAGATGAAACCGCCCCTTCAGCCCTGGCTGCGAGGTCTCGTTGCTCCCGTTGCTCCCCGCGCGGCGCTCACCTGGCGCCCCACGGCAAGGAAGGCCGCCGAGGGATTCATGGGTGTTTCCCCCGCACCCCGACAAAGTCGCGGCGGGCAGTGTCACCTTCCACAGGCCATAGGGGCCTGCCCGGAGCGGCGGGGCG